CCACCCTGACTGCTCCCTGTCTGTTCCCACAGCCCCTCACCAAGTCCCTCCAGGCCCCTGCTCCACGGTCAGAAAGGCAGCAGGGGCTGCAGCTGGACCTGCCTGGCCTGAGACTCTGGGGGAACATGGGCTTCAGTGTGCCCTCTCCCTCTCAGACCAGGCGGGTTCTCCAGGCTTTGACATTGCCCAGGCCGCTGTCCGACGACAGGCTGCAGACTGAAGAGGGGCACCCAGCTGGAGGGGTGCGGGCCACACAGGACCCCCAGTTCCAGGCGCAGGTCGGCCCCCAGCCCCAGGTCATCAGGTGGAGGGGCTGTCCTCCGAGCCCTCAGGCACAGACAGGGCTCCCAACCCTCTCACGCAGGGCGGGGGGCGGGGGCAGAACGCGGGCAGGACCCTCCCTTCCCCTCCAACCAGCCCCTTCCCTTAATCCTTAGGGGCAGAGTAACACCCTCATGAGCAGGCGCAGGGCGGTCCCACAACCGCACAGTCTTCGGGCCATAGGGAGACGCCCCCCAATTTCGGGTGCGGGGCGGCGCGTGAGCGAGCCCGGGCCCAGCTGCAGCAGGCTCGGGCACGTGGCCAGCTGGCGGGGGAGGGCGCGGCGCTGAATCAGCTGCAGGGCGCGCGGGGCGGGCAGTTTTGGGAACTGTCGGGGAGGCGTGCCAGACGCAGGGGGTTTTCTGGAAAGCCGGCCGCTGCCAACCAGGCTGGGGGGAAGCTGGGTGCACGGGGTAGGCACCCTCCAGGACAGCCCCCTCCAGACGAGACCGAAGGGCAGGCCGAGTGCGGCCTCTCTGCGGGTGGAAGCTAGCGTCCCTCCGGGAAACGCTGAATCAGCACTCCGGTCCTTCTGCACCAATCACGGGCTGGAAGGGGCAGGACGCTCTCAAGGTCGGGGGACATCAATACCCGCAGGAGCCCACTGCTGCTGCTGCTCAGGGGGAGGCCCGGGGAGAATGCCCGCATCGCCTGCTCCTGCATCCTGCGGGGGTGGGGGTGGGGGTACCGCGCCTGCTTTGTGAGAGTGTGTTGCCTGGTCCCATCCTGGTGTGTGGGGGTGGGGTGGGGGGGCAGGGCGGACAACAACTCTCACTCCGCCCCATCCTCACGCGGTGGCTCAGCACTTCCTCTGTGCATCTGGGCTGGCTGCCAGGGCAGGGGGCACTTCTCACTGGTGCAATGTGGCCGGATAGCTCCGGGTGTGTGCATTAGAGCGCACAAGCAGATGCACCGTGCATGTGGCCGGTGTTCGTGTGTGCGCGCGCGCGCGCCCGCACGCTCCTTGCAGGGGCCTGGTATTTGGCACAGGCTCCTGCCCCCAGGAGTGGAAAAGCAGGGGTGCTGCGCTTCCAGGTGGAGAGGCTCTGTGAGGACACCTGATGTCATACACTAGTAGCAACGGGGTGGCAACACCATTGCGTGGCATTTGTGGTCATCACCGCTGGTCTGAGTGGCCATCATGGTGTTGGCAGGCAGGCATCTTCAGGTGGAATAAAGGCCTGCCTGCCTACAGTCTATGCCAGTCTCCAGTTCGAGCTAGGGAACCCAGGGCAACTCTGCCTTGTCCTACAGGGTCCCTGAGCAGAGCTGGACTCGCTGGCAGTGGGTTTCCTTTGGTTCTGGGAGCCCTTCACCAAGTCTTCATGAAACCCTTTTCCCAACAAGCCGGGCAGTTCTGGAGACTTAGAGCCTTCGACGAGGCCTTACCTGAAACGGAGCCTTCATCACACGTTCCCACCACATCCCCACGGGCCACAGGGACCCCATGCCCTGTGGTGAAGATAGACTCACGGGACTTCAGGGTTCTCTCTGGAGTCCCCTTTTCTGTGACCCGCTCCTAATTCTGGCTATTCCCAGGCCAGGCTCACAGTGGCCTTGGCATTCCAGAGGCACCCTCTGTGGCCTTCTTGCCTGCCCACCCACATGGCCCTCAGCTGGCAGGTGACACTGGCACCTGGTCAGGTGCTTCCCTTCTGGCGGGTTACCTGGGCTGGTCAGTCTGGGCTGGACCACAACACTGTGGAGCCCAAGGGGCACTCAGGGGCCATGTGGCCACACTGACAGGACAGCAAGAAACATGAAGGAGTGTGTGTGCTACTGGACACTTTAAACAGCAACAGAAGTAGCCTTTCCAACCCAGGAGGCCCTGGCCCCAAGCAACCACCACTGTCCACATGGTATGAAAATACGTTTAATGCAGAGAATCTCGGTGGAGCTTGGGTGCTGGTGGCGACCCTCCCACTGCCCTGCCTGCCCCGAGAGGGCTCCATGCAGCTGAGCAATGTGGAGTGGGATGGGCAGGGGGCTCGTCTGGGAAACAGCGTGGTTTATAGTGCAAAAGGTTTGGGGGCAAGCCGCTGGAGGGCCAGGGCTCACATTGGCCGGGCCGCTGGTTTGTTTTTTTTTGCTTTCTCCACCTGATTTGGGTTGTTGAGGCTTGTCTGTGGAGCACACAGGGCCCCTGGCCATGGTCTGCCTTGGGGGCAGAGGGGTGGATGATCACCTGCCAGGGCTCCAGCCTGTTTCTGCAGTGACATGACCAGAGGCCCTTCCCACTCACCTTGTCCTGAAGCTACAAGGCCAGCCATGGTCACACCACAGGGACAAGGCCTCTTCCCCATCTGGGTGCTCCCACCCCAGGGTTTTCCTGCCCCACCCCTCTAGTTGCTCCCTGCAGTCTGTGTGGGCATACCTGGGGGACTGCTCAGATGCTGAGTGCAACCTCGGGCACCACGCACGCACGCGCACACACACATGGCCAGAGGTAAGCCAGGGCATCGCTTAGGGCCCAGGGACCCAGCCAGCCCTTCGAGGTGGTGACATTGGCCCAGGGCCTGAGCCAGGAATCTGTTGGGGTCACGTAT